TGGTGAGAGTCGCTGCGACTGGTCGGGGGTCAGCGCGGGGTGATGGAGTCTCAGGCCATCCTAGCAGCTCCCGCGCGTGCACACCTTCGCGTTTTGTAAAGACTGGACAGTGTGGGTTCATCATCACGGACACTGAAGGAGCGAATGTTCTCATCATAGGGGACGAGGGGGCACGGGGCTGGCATGTTCTGCAGATGGCCCCGTAGGGAGAGAGTGGCAGAACTCCAGCGATCCAAGGGCTCGGAAGTCCGAATGGGACCTTTCTGTCCACATTCTACTTGTTTCAGTAGGGCCGGTCCAGGCTCCCTCCTCTATCCTGTTCCTATGTTTGCAGTCCCCCCACCCTGTGTCCCTTCCGTCATCGTCCACCTCTCTGAACTCAGATTCTGGGCCCTGTTGCACGGGAGGAGGGTGCTGACGCCCCCTTACTGTGGTCTCTGGCCTCCTGCAGGACCCCCCACCTCCATCCCTGGCTCTGCGCTCATCTCCCCCTCCTGCCAGCTCTCGTTGCATTGATGTGCTTCCGCCTCTCTTCCCACTTCCCCGGCCTGCTCGTTATCTCCCTCTGCCTCAGTGGCCCGGCACCGCAGGGCCCCAGGCCTGCGGTTCATAGTCCACCCTGTCCCCTGGTTTTGAGTCCATCTTTTCAGGAAGCCAAGTGACGTTTGTCTTTTGCGTTGTGTCAGATGGGGAGACCAGGATGGAGCACACCAGCGGCATCCCGGAGGAGGCTGGAGCCCGGGGGCTGCTGGGAAGGTTCCCAAAGGGCATGTCTCAGGGTCTGCAGTTCGACGCTGCCTATGATGGAGTCCGTCTAAAGAGGCAGCTGAAGTGCTCCTCAGGGGACGGACTAAAGAAGAAGCTGCCAGACTTCAGTCCAGTGACGGGTGAAGGCGAGCTCACCCCCCCGGGAGCGGGGGGTGAGAAAGACAGTGACTTGGGGAGCGGCTTCCCCGGGAGCCCTCACCTTCTGGCCCAGCCCCGGCTCCCGGTGGGAGACAGGCCCCATAAGTGTGAGGAATGTAGCAAGAGCTTTAACCGGACGTCAGACCTCATCCAGCACCAGCGCATCCACACTGGCGAGAAGCCCTATGAGTGCAGCGAGTGCGGCAAGGCCTTCAGCCAGAGCTCGCACCTCATCCAGCACCAGCGCATCCACACGGGCGAGAAGCCCTACGAGTGCGGGGACTGCGGCAAGGCCTTCAGCTGCAGCTCGGCGCTCATCCTGCACCGGCGCATCCACACGGGCGAGAAGCCCTATGAGTGCGGCGAGTGCGGCAAGGCCTTCAGCTGGAGCTCCACGCTCACACACCACCAGCGCATCCACACGGGCGAGAAGCCGTACGCATGCCACGAGTGCGGCAAGGCCTTCAGCCGCAGCTCCACGCTCATCCACCACCAGCGCATCCACACGGGCGAGAAGCCCTACGAGTGCGGCGAGTGCGGCAAGGCCTTCAGCCAGAGCTCGCACCTCTACCAGCACCAGCGCATCCACACGGGCGAGAAGCCCTACGAGTGCATGGAGTGCGGCGGCAAATTCACCTACAGCTCCGGCCTCATTCAGCACCAGCGGATCCACACCGGGGAGAACCCGTACGAATGTAGCGAGTGCGGCAAGGCCTTCAGGTACAGCTCGGCCCTGGTGCGCCACCAGAGAATCCACACTGGAGAGAAGCCTTTGAATGTAATGGCAATGGGCAGAAGCTCTCTTCGCGCCTCTGCTGAACTCAACCTGCGGCCATCCAGCTAAAGGGCCCCACCCGTCTGCAGAGCTCCTGCCTTACCCACCCCGCGGGCAACTGCGGGTCACCCTCACCCTGTAGGCACGGGGAAGCTCAGGCCAGTCCCTGGTACCTTGCCCCAGGGATGGTGTTTTCCCGGGGGAGGAGGCGAGCTGGGTGGGAAGTGCTGGGCTGTCGGCAGTTTGCACTAGCCCTGGTTCCTTGCTGAGGAGCCTTTTTTTTCCCCATGCAGGGAGGGAACAGGGCCCCAGGATTCCTCTGCGGAGCCCGAGAGCCGTGAGAAGCACATTCTGGAACCTGCTGTTGGCGAGGGAGGCGCATTTCACAGCTCTCCATCCGGAATGTGCTCTTGGTTTTATGTCTCTATGAAAATGTGCTACCAGGAGGTGGGGGTTTAGCTGGGCCATGGGGCACGACCCCAGGACACACCCGATTCTGTAGGGCTCTCGGCGCAGCAGGACCCCGTCCCCGAGGGCAGTTTGGCTGGAGGCCCTTGTTCTCCCTGCGTGCAGGACTCGCTGGACGTCCATGCTGGCCAGTGAGCGAGTGGCCCGGTGCCTTCCCTTTCCCTGTCCTGTTGTCACTGCTGTGGGGAATTGAATCCAGACCACCCGTTACTGAGAGTCCTTTTAAGGAGCCCACTTGGCCAGCTTGCCCTGCCCTGTGTCACGTGTGACCTCTGACATCTGGCCTCCAAACTCTGACCCGAGTTTGCCCAGGTGGAGGGTGACCTTGTGCTGAGTTCTCCCAGTCCTGCTCACCCTGTAGCATACATGAAGTGCACTATTAAACAGAATAGTTTTGCAGAAGGAGCCTGCGTATGTGTGTGTGCGTGCACATGTGGGCGGGAACCCTGGCAGCAGGCATGGGCCGGCCAGGTGGCTCAAAGGGCTGAGTTCACGTGGGAAGGTTGGATTTAATCCCTGACACCTGTGTCCTGGAGTGCTTGGAAAGTGACCTCCAAGCACTGCGGTGTCTCCGTCACCCCCTGGCAAAAAGTAGTCGGCTCTGTTGGATTTGGTGCGGGCCAGAAGCCAGGGCTGCAGACTCTTAGCTGATGCTGTACCCACCCCCCTCACCGCTGCAACAGCCGTTTCTCCTAGTTGCTAGCTCAGTGTGGTCTGGCAGCTCCACACCTACACGTCGCTCCTACCTTCACGCATGAGGCATCTGCCAGCAACATGTGGGATAGCCAGACCAGCCAAGACTCAGATTTGGGGTTCCTCATGAACATCTGGGACACTGGTGGCAGGCAGGTACCTTCTGATTTCCTTATGGGGGGTACACTTTGCCTTGGGGAGGAGGACCTGCCAGAAATGCCGCTCTGCTTCCCAAGTGTGGGGGTCACGTGCTCACCACCTGGCGTCTGAAGAAGGTATGTGGGAGTGAGCTGCCACCACTCTCCTGCTCTAGAAGATTGCCATACCTGGTAGGCTAAGATAAGCGTGTGGGGTGCCCAGCATCAAACCTGGGTCGGCTGTGTGCAAGGCAGATGCCCTTCTTGCTGTACGACTCTGGTCCCCCTAAAAGAATTTTTGAAGTTCCCCCCCCCCCAAGTCTTTTATTGTTTATAGATTTTTTGGGGGGCTTGTTTATAGAAAAAAAATTTCTACTGCAAGGGGCTGCAGCAATAGTATAGGGCTTAAGGCACTTGCCTTGGATGCAGCCAACCTGGGTTCGATCTCTGACACCACATATGGGTCCCTCCCAGAATGATCCACGAGCACCACTGGGTGTGGCCCCCCCAAGCCCAAGAGTGACATGTGACTCCTGACATGTGACAGGGCCCTAGCAATGAGCAGGGTGGCTTTGGCTGATGCTGGGAGGCAGCTGCTCCCTCCCCGCAGCCTTCCGAAGACTCCCTCTATACACTAACAGACTTTATTTAGTCGTGGCTACCAGTGGCCTTGCGCCACTGCTAGAACCTCCAGACAAGTTAAAGGGGCTCTGAGCCCCTCCAGGAGTGACCCCCAAGCACAGAGCCACGACCAAGACCTGAGCACAGCGGGGTATGGCCAGAAAATTAAAAACGTGAAGAGAAAGTGTTGAAATGACTCCAAACTTACCTGGGAGGGTCAGTATGACAGCACAGTGGGGAGGGCACTGGATGCAGTTGACTTGGGTTCAATCCCTGGCATGCCAAATGCTCCCTTGAGCCCCACCAGGAGTAATTCCTGAGTTCAGAGCCAGGAGTAGCTCCTAAGCAATGTCAGGTGTGACCGAATTTTGAAAAATTAAATAAAACCCCAAAACCTTAGCTGGCAATTTTTGTGTTGGGAGGCCATACCTGGGGGCCCCAGGTTGGGTCACCCCCAGCCTGCACAGGGGCCATTCGTGGTTCATGCTCAGGAGTGCCCCCTGGTGGCGTTGGCCCCTGCACAGTCTTGTGGCTGGAATCTCTGGCTCCTGAGGAAACCCTTCCAATGCTCATGCAGAAGTGACACCCTACTGTGGGGTAGGTTTCCTGTGGCCCAGTCTGAGATTCATCAGGTGGTTGTGGCAGGTGCCAACAGCTCTTGGGCTCCAAGTGGTGTGGTGCTGAGTGAAAGGAGCGTCTTGAGGGTGATGTGTTGTCCTTTAAGACTTGCCCAAAGAATAAGGGGTTCCACGGTAAGGAACAGAGAGGGGCGCTGGGTGAGGGGACTGACTTAAAGGAGTTATCTGGGTAGAGGATCCACCTCACACTTAACCCTCAAGCCGGCTGCCCTTCTGCAGGCTGTGTCCCTGAATCTACTGTGGCTAGCTGGGGAGCTCCAGTGGCCGCACCTCTGGCACTTCTGAACTGCCACCAGGCGGGATGACCACAGTTGCCCTATTTCTGGGGTGACCCTGAGCCGAGGAAGAGTACTTTGAAATGGGTATCTGAGGTATTTGTAGAACAGAACATGGAAACCACATGCAACTGACCACAGGCTCAGGTCGGACCCCAGCACTGCCTGGCCTCCCAAGTTCTACTGCAAATGGTCCTATTCACTCAGGGTGAGGCCAGAACAAAACACTCTACCACTATAGCTTCTTGTCCAGAGTGGGCCCACAGCCAAAAGGAACCACCAAGTAGGACAATCCAAAGTCCTGTGTTCAAAGACCAACTGGCAGGGAAAAAGCAGCAGGGAGGCCACACACCCACCTGAGGTTGACCCCCCCTCCCCCCAGTACAGCAAGCCTGGAGGACTGCCAAGTGTTGCCAAAACAAAACACCCCTAAATGCCCAGGGGAGAGTTGGGGCAGAGGCAGCTTGGTACCAGCAACCAGACAATGACCAGCTATAGCATTTATTACAGGAACAGCCCGGAGGCACTACATGGCACGTCTACTCCGTCAGGCTAAATCAGGTTCGCTGCCACTCAATTCTTTACAAATGGCAATTCTCGAATATACGTTAAGACAGTCCGACAGTTTCCATGTTTCCTTAATCACACTAGCTACAACGCATCGGTCTGTCTATATAAAAGGCGACATGGGAATGGTTTCTGAGACAGGCCGGATATAGGGGCCCTGTCCCAGCCAGCTGGCAGGCGAAGAGTCCCCGCCTCACGCCATCCCAGGTTAATGCACTAACTGGACTTCTGACTCCGGCCCGAGGGCAGGTGCCCTGGCCAGCTACAGCGCCTCAGCCTCACCGCTGTGGACGCGCTGGTGCTTGGAAAGGTTGGACTTGCTGCAGAAGGTTTTCCCGCAGCTGCCGCACCAGTAGGGCTTCTCGCCTGTGTGGATGCGGTGATGCTTGTTGAAGTTGGAGCTGTGGTTGAAGGCCTTTCCACACTCCTTGCACTTGTAAGGCTTCTCGCCCGTGTGCAGTCTCTGGTGTGAGCTGAGGCCCGCGTGCTGGCTGAAGCTCTTGCCACACTCGTTGCACTGGTAGGGTTTCTCCCCGGTGTGGATGCGGTAGTGGCGGATGAGGCTGCCTTTGCCGCTGAACGCCTTCCCGCAGTCCTTGCACTGGTACGGTGCCTCCTCGCTGTGCATGCGCTGGTGTTTGAGGAGATCTGAGCTCTGCCCGAAGGCCTTGCCGCACTTGCAGTCATAGGGCCGGTCCACCAAGTGCGTCCGGTAGTGGAGCGTGAGGTTGGAGCTGTGGCTGAAGGCTTTCCCGCACTTGGTGCACACGTACGGCTTCTCGCCCGTGTGTGTACGCCGGTGCTTGGTGAGGTTGGAGCTGTTGCTGAAAGCCTTCCCGCACTCGGCGCAGATGTACCGCCGCTCCCCCGGGCCTGGCTTGCTGGAAAGGAACTCTCTTCCTTTCTTGGCCCCTGGGCCCTGCGAGGGGCTTTTGGTTCCTCTTTCCTTGCTGGGGCTCCCCCACTGCCTGGCCATCCCCCCGGGAGTGATGTCCCTCTGGTATCCTGCCGCACGGGACTCTTCGGCACTACCCTGCTTCTCGGCTGAGTCCTCATTCTGGGTGCCCAGGCCGCGGCCTGTAAGGAAAGGAGAGTAAGGTCCCCTGAGCCCCACCAAGAGGGATCCCTGAGCACAAAGCCAGGTGTGGCCCCCAAACAAAAGGCACGTGTCTTCTATCCCCAGAGCAGGACTCTGAGATGCCCCCGGAGAGGCAGGGAACCCCACCTACCTATCAGTCCCGCCACTGTGGTCCACTCTGGGGTCCCTCCCACCCAGGGTCACTTTCCAACCCCAGGGCGGCGAGTCTGAGACAGTGCTCATCTGGAATCTCACCCAGTTCTGGCGTTAAATCCTGCTCTTCGCCGGTTTCCTGGATGTAAAGGGGGCCCCACGATTCATATCTGGGACTGGCCTCCCCAGACTCTGGCTGATCGCTGCTCGGGGACCCCTTGGCTGTTTGGGGAGGGGCCGCCTCCAGCCACACTGGTTTCTGCTCGCCTGGAGAAGAGACCTAGAACGAAAAGGAGCCACACAAAAGCTTAGTTTGGTGGACCCTCCAGGACAGGGAAAAATAAAAATCCCAATTCCCCAGACGGAAGGAAACCAGCAGCAGCCTGGCTCCCTGCAGACACTTCTGCCAGGATGGCTGTCCCCCAACCCACCTGGTGCCCGGGCTCATCCAGCTCTTGCTCCAGATCCTCCAGGAGAGCGACGGCCTCCTCAGCGCTCTCGGGGCCATGCCCCTGCACCCAGGCCTGCAGCTCCCGCGGCAGGATGCTCAGGAACTGCTCCAGCACCAGCAGCTCCAGGATCTGCTCCTTGGTGTGGATCTCGGGCCGCAGCCACTCACAGCAGAGCACGCGGAGCTGGCTCAGGGCCTCCCGAGGCCCAGGGGTGTCATGGTAGCCGAACTGCCGGAAGCGCTGGCGGAACATCTCCAGGCTGGGACGGCACTTCCCCTTCTCCTCCTTCATCATCACAGGCCCCTGCTCTTGTGGGGGTTTCGGGACCAGAACTGCAGCCATGCCCAGCACCTTGGTCATCATACGCGCCGCCCGGGGCCTTGCTGAAGACACACTCCGCAGCTTAGGGTTTCAGCTCTTTAGAGCTCTCTGTCAACCTATGGATTTATGGGGCCATGAAATCACCCAAGAGCCATTCATCTCCGTCACTATCCCGAAGCTCTGCCGCAGATGTCACTTTAGCATGAGATTATGACCACCATCACCCTATCCAGGACTGGCTCGATGGTCCCATCCCTGGCATCGGCCCAGTCCCACCTTGGGGAATCTACTGTTGGGGTCCCAGAGCCACAGCTTGAGTGCCTGCTGTGACATCTAGAGCATGACAACCGATAAACGTGTGACCCCCTCCCCCTGCGGGCCCCCCAGGTCAAAACTCTTGCTTACCCCAGAACTCCTTATCCCCATCGACTCTTTACCTCCCATCACTTATTGCCATACAAATTCTTCTCACCCACCCAGCACATAGCCCTGTCCCTCCATCCTCTGCACTGTCAAGGCCTAATTCTCACAGGAATTTGTCTTCTATGTCTTGATTTGGTGATTCATGGAAAAGAGCTTCATCTTAATTATGATTAAAGAAATAAAACACACAGCTACAATGAAGGGACCAGAGAGGTTGTAAAGGGGTCAAGGTGCTTGCTTTGCATGTGGCAGACCTGCATTTGATCCCCTGCATACCCAAGACCTGCAAGGAGTGGTCCCAGAGCACAGAGCCAGGAGTGATACCTGAACACAGTCAGATGTGGGCCCAAAGCAAAAACAATTCAATCATGTCTTTAAAAAACTTTTTTTCTGGAACTGGAGCAATACAATGGGTAGCATGCTTGCTTCATATGTTGCTGACTGGGATTTGATCCCCAGGATCCCATATGAGTCCCGTCCCCCACTCCTACCCCCAACCACCAGAAGTGATTACTGAGTGAGGGTCAGGACCCCTGAGCATCACTGGGTATGGCCCCCAAACAAAACAAATTTTTTTCTCCCTAAGCAAAGCAAGTAATTTCACCTTTGATTATACCCAGTCCTTCTATACTTTTAGTTATCAAAATCCGCCTCCAGGTCTTGACTTCCTTATTTTTCTTTTTGAACCAAACCTTGTGGTGCTAAGGGTTTAAGGCTGGGTGCTCAGGAATCACTCCTGGTGGGGCTTGGGGGAACATATGTGGTTCCAGGTGTCTAATCCAGGTGGACCGCAAACAGACAAGTGTCTTATCTGTTGTACTATTGCTCTCTTTGGCCACTGGATTTCTTAAAAAAAAAAAAAAGTTCATAAGATCAACAAGTGTGTTGCAGACAATGAATGAGGACATTGTTCCTAACACACTGCCTTGACCCTTCTAGGAGACATAGAACGTTCAGATCAACGTTTAGACCAAGTATCTCTTTTTTTTGGTCCCAGTTTTTACGTCCTTCAAAAAAGTGCTTTATCCTGGGCAGAGCGCCAGTACAGCTAGCTGGGCAGTTGCCTTGCACGCAGCTGACACGAGTTCTATCTCAGGCACCCTCTACGGTATGATTCCTTTGCGAAGGGCCAGGAGGGAGTAGGCTCTGAGCATCACAACGTGTGCCCCCCACCCCAATATATATATAAATAAAAGTGCCCCACACCGGTTCTGAAACAAGAGAAGTGGCCAACTACTATAATTACGGTGGTTTGAAGCAGTTTCGCGTAATTTTACCCACTCACGCCCCAACACACTCACTCAGTACCCGAGCGCCCCAGGCTGCCACCTTTGATGCTTGAGGCGCAGAAACTCAAGGCCAGAGGCCTCTGCCGCAAGGTTTTCTTCCCACTGGACCAAGTTCTGCACCCTTGCCTAAGCTTCCCTCCCCGGCTTGGGTTCAACCCTCCCAGGCTGCTCATCTTTCTCCAAAGCAGATTTATTTCCGAGACCGAAAACCACTGCGGCGCCGCAGAGCCCCCGAGCGTTCCTGACGTCACGTGGGTGTCCAGACCCCCCCACCCCCACCCCTACCCCTGCTCTCCTGGAAAACTGCATTTGGTCCTGAGAAGACGCCCTCCCGGGAGCAGATCCCGTCCCCGGTTTGCTGCCGAACCTCAACAAAGCTCCCCCGGGGCGGTCCCCGCCCTCGCGGCGCGCGGGCTCGCGGGTACAAAGGGCGCCTCCCGCCCGGCTCGCTCCCCCGGGCCTCGCGCGGGGCCGTCGTCGGAGGGCGAGTCCGTCCGTCCGTCCGGTCGGACCGGCGCGGCGCGGCGCGGCGCGGGGGGGCTCACGAAACTCTGCTCGGAGCGAGCGGACCACCCAAGTTCCGTTTGTCCAACTGCCGCCGGGAGCACGGGGCTTCCCGGGAGCGCGCCTCCCCCTCTCGGGATGGGCAGGGCCAGCAGGCTCCTCCCCGCAGTCCTCCCCGAGCCGGCCGGCCGGGCTCCCGGGGGCCACGGCGACCGCGCCCGCTCCTCCCCGAGCCCCGCCGGCCGCGGCGCGCGCACCTATCCGCCGCGAGACCCGGGGAGCGGGGAAGAAGCCTCACCGGGAGTCGCAGCCGCTCCGGGCGCCGAGACACCGCGACGCTCACGGCGGGACGGCGCAGCCGGAAGTGCGTCAAGCCCCGCCCCCGGAGCGTGGGGTCGCGCGCCCCCCGCCCGCCCGCCCGCGAGGCCGCTCTAGGAGCTCCGGAGGTCTCTGCGTCTCCTTGTCTGGAGCTCGGTGCGGCGGTTTCGTCTGTCTGGACCCACGAGTCCGGCGCTCGGGTTTTCTCCTCGCAGCCGCGGCCGCTGCGGCATTGAGCCCACTTTCCCCTCCCCCGGCGCTGGCGCTGTGCCCACCCGCGCTGGCCTCCCATGAGTTTGCTCTGGCCTGGTGGGGTAAAAGCCGCAGAGGGGCGGGAACATGCTTTTGTGCACGGAATTCTGCGTCCACGCACTGATCTTTTGTCTGTTCAACAAGTATCTACGAGACCCAGTGTCAAATGGAGGCCGGCAGGAGCATAGGGGGCCCTTGACAATGAGGTTTTTATTATCATTAATAATATTGGGGCTGGAACAGTGGCACAGCGGGGAGGGCATTTGCCTTGCACACGGCCGACCCGGGTTCGATTCCCAGCATCCCATATGGTCCCCTGAGCACCGCCAGGAGTAATTCCTGAGTGCAAAGCAAGGAGTAACTCCTGTGCATTGCCAGGTGTGACCCAAAAAGAAAACAACAACAACAAAAATGTGTGTGTGTGTGTGTGTGTGTGTGTATATATATATGTACGCGCGCGCGCGCGCGCAATGGATCCCAGGGCCTCAATCATGCTTTTCTGGAAATTCTACCAAGATGTGATATAAAATCTCAAGACTGGGACGTAGTAGATGGGCAGGGAGGGCTCTTGCCTTTTATGACTCGGACTTGGGTTCCAACCCCAGCACCCCATATGGTTCCCCAGACCCCATCAGGAGTGACCCCTGAGTGAAGAGCCAGGAGTAAGCTCTGAGCACAGCCAGGTGTGGCTCCAAAATTAAAAAAAAAAACTTGCACTGACACCAACCCTATAGCGGACAAAGGCAGATGCCCCCGACCTTAGGGGTGTAGAAACTGAGACCTAGTTAGACTCTGGTGGGGATGCTGCTCAGAGCAGGGTGGACCCCAAAGGAGATGGTACAACAGGAATGAAAGACTGTGACTAGAACATGAAAGAGACCAACAGCTTCTACCTAGAAAACCCAAAGCTGGGGCAATTTGGGAGGGAAAAAAAAAACCCTTAAAAAACCTACAAGCTGCTGCACCTCCACTCTGAGTGGCCTCCCGCAGCTCAACCGAGTAGGTGTTTTTGTTGGGTTTTGGGTTTGGGGTCACATCCAGC